ACTCCAAACGGCGCAAACGAAACTACAGAAAACAGGAAAGTCTAAAGAAATCTAACCAATGCCAACTATCGATGACATTCACACGTGAAGCGATGCACCAACACATTCCAATAAGTGAAATGTTACAGGAGCGGGGTTAACATGATTTCATTTTCGAACAGGAATCGGATGATGCTCAAGGAACAAAAAAAATTACAATAGTCTTGCCTCTTCTATGAAAAAACGAAATATCGAATCGATGAAATGAGTATTCAATGAACACAAACCACATAAAGCAAGCTATCTTTAGACTAAGATTTCAGAACGATTGCGATCCTAATTCATAGCTATAACGAAAGATAGACTCAACATATAAAACAAGACTCTATGTAGAATCTGCTTAAGAAAGAAAGAAAATCTCTCTAATACAACTCCCAGCAGAAATGAAGATTGGGTGGCACTAAACGGTGTACTGTTATGAGAACAAATCGATAAAACATAAAGTTGTCAAAGAAAAACTTGGCCTTTTTATACGAGTAAGAGTAAGGAAAGTTTGATCGGAAAGTGAAAAAAATTTTTCAGAAAATTGATGAGACCAGAGAAAGCAGAAACTACAAGATAGAGAGAAAACAGCTCGATTGGTTACAAAAAACGCGAGATAATGCCATCGGTGTAATAGAGCCTGAGTCTGAATATTAATCAGTAAAGTACGAATCAATTGGCTGAGTTTCATCAAAGTTTAAGATGCAAATTTTGGAAGAAGACATATATGAACAACTGTGACTATCTCTATTATAACTGACTCATGAGGAGCAGAGTTTGTAGAGTATCCAACATTCTGGAAGCTATAAATAACAACTGAAAATTCTACAATAAACTCGATCCCTAGCATCGAATTCATGTGCCGTACATCGTACGACTAGGATTTTTCGAGTTCTCTCCTCCAAATCAACATCCTTTAACGTATAATTTGAACAGTTTTTTTTGATATTTTTGTTTTGGCAAAACGAACAGAAGAGTTGTATACCGAAGGTTCTGATTTCAACAGTATTCTTGAAATGTTTTTCAACACACTGTTCGTTCTAATATCTACAACTCTAACTTTAATTATTTTTATTCTTTCAATCTATTGTACAGCATTTATAGCAGCAAGGGAACTGCACTTCCAATTCAGATTATCCTCCATCACATATTATTTCATGTATGATGACACTAAATTAAAAAATACTCAATTTCTTCCAGAGCTTTCCTCTGCAATCTCATAATTGGAGTTCTGATCTATCCTAGTTTCTGTCCATATTGTGCCACATTCTTTGCGAATGGCCTATTGAGTGTGCTACAAGTAAACGTGAGATACCAGTTAGTGTTGATTGCATTATGTTTATCATGTACGTTTTTTAATATAAAAATAACTATAAGCTTTTCAATAACATTACTTTACAGTGAATGGGTTCGGGTTGATAAACGCTTGCTCACAGAGGGTAATCCTCATGTATTCCTCTAGTTGTCATGCAAAAAAGCATGGATTATATATATTATTAGTTTTAGTGGTATTTGGAGTAATGACTGGAATACCCGTTATGATTCAAATTGTTCTAAATACTGATTTCTCAGATGACTCGCTATGTATACAGGTGGGAATGCTTTTTCTAGACCCTCACTCTTCAACATTCGTTTGATGATCATGATCTTACTAATATTAAAAAGAATTACTAAATCAGACTTAAATGCTGTCAATTACGCACTAAGTTAACGCGAACACAGTTTTCGAAATGAATTTATTCTTTCGTATATGCGCGCGAAAAAAGATTGCACACGTGAATGACTGTCAAGAACGACTGATCTCCAATCCTCCAGATGTTTCAGAGAACAAAAAAAAATATATTTTTTAAAAAATGCTATCAACTTGATCCATAAATAGAATTCCTATCCCAGCGTAATATGAGACAACAAAGTATGGCAAAGTCAGTAATTTTGGTAAAACAAGAAGAGAGCGAATTATGGTTCCTTATGCTCTACGAATAGGAAATACAGTATTCATTTAATGCGAACATTTGAATCCCTGACCAAAAAATCAACTTAATCTCAACACGGTACAATTGAACAAAGTTTTATTACAGATGGCTAGTCAAGTTCGGCCATACCCGTTCTCAATTCCCTTGAATTTATCATTTTCTAACTTTGCAATACTTCATGTTTGGCTACTATACGATATATCATTCTATGGTGTTATGGGACTAACACTATGCTCAATGAAGTTTTTGTTATTATACAAGAATAGTCGAAGAAGAAGAGTTGTATCTATTCGTACATGTAAATCACAGGTGTTTGTGATAATGGTTCTGCTAATTTTGGTATACTAGAAAAGATAATCAAACAGTTGAATCGTAGAATTGCAGACTTTTTCACAGCTTATTCTACTAGCGTTACCAATATTAGTAATTTCTTTATCATCTATCAATCAATTTCGCAGCGGTTTGAGTATTCTTATTTATCGAGTCAGTGAGAAATAGTTTTTAGGTTATATGAATCATATGGTTTTCCAATTTATCAGTTTATCTAACATCATTGGGCCAGCTTTGAGTTTATGCACGAATGAAGCCTACAGAAAATTTATAAAAAAAAAACTTCTTGAAATTTTACGGTTCAGAACGAAAATTGAAGCATCGACGCCATCCTCAGCTTTAACTTTCACAAACACATCAAAATATACATCTTAACTGTTTTTGTATGAATTAGAAGAAAGAAAATATCGAACACATTGTGAAATCCTTTCGTGCTGACAAGTTTGACAAACGTTGATTAAGTTATTAAACGTATAGACTGAGAGAACTTGGGATCAACCGTTCTTTGCGAAAACAATAATCTAAATGATAATCGAGTCATACCATTTCACGTGGAGTCACGGAAAGTAGGTTTCATGACATCAGAATTGAGCAAAAAATAATAACGAAAGAATATGTTACAGTATCTAGACAAACGAAACCAGATCTAAAGAAATACAGTTCGTTACCGTAACAAATATATATTAAAATAGAGCAAAGCATTAAAATGTAAAAAAAAAGAAAAGGATATCGTAATAATCTTTTCGTATATAAGGAAGACCGGCAATGCTGTATTCAATAATTCAATTTAATTTTTATATTTAGTTACAATGAGCTTAGGTCGGTTGTGTCATTGCAATTGATGACGTTCATTCAGTTGATGAAAGAGAAATGGAGTTGTGAGGAAACTTCTCCATTCGACAGACAATGAACAGCAACATTGAACAATATGAATGTGTCTCTCTCAGAAACTAGGTAGAATGTGATAATACGAGAAAAATAACTCAAAATTAACAAGAAAAAAAAGGAAAGTTGAAAATGATCTGTTTTCATTTTGAATGAAGATCAGATTATCAAATGAGCAACAGATGTTGTTTGAAGCGCGGAAATATCAATTGACCAATGTAAAATTAATGACAGTTTTAACGCAAAAACTTCTTCATATCTGTATAACCTCTTTCGAATGAATACTATTCTAGATTCCAATACCTTCGTATGAAGGGTTAGTCGAATTATCAAACGGACAATACATAGACCATCTTTTGAACATGAGCCAAGTGTGACCGGTCACATACATGGTGGTTCACCCGACCTTTAAGAACTGCATGAAGTCATGATCTGCAGTCAAAACTATGGCTTATAGTTTGAAAATCAGACTTTTCTCTCTAATAGGAAGTTTATAAATAGACAAGAAGATGAAGAAAAAGATATAAAGATTGTTATGATTATCAAACTATTATAATCTATTAATAATCATGTTAACACGTCCTAAAACAATGAGTGAACCTCATTCGGAAAAGATCATAAAATCAAATTTCACTTAAGGTAAAGTAGGGAAGAAGAGAAATAGGATTCATGAGAGGGTGGATCTGAAAAAAAAAACGAAAAGAAATAGTTGTATAACAAGAGTTCGTCATTCATCAACATGAAGATGAAAGACTTTTCATAAGAAAAGTGATTTGTCTAAGTTATGGTTCATTTGTCTGTGATTGAAGAACATTATGGTCTTTGGGAGTAACTTTTTAATCTTTCGATATGTCTGTAACACTCAATTTTAATTTCAAAGATGTTCTCAAGACACGGTTCTAGTTCTGTTAAGTTGGGACATGGGAGATGAAGGAAATTTCTAATTCGCAAAAATTTGTTTAATTCTGATCGGTCAAAAGCTTGTCTCATCTATTAAATCTGTAATTCACGGTGTTTCTAGAACTTATGCCAACATGTGTGATCACGTAGAGTGCAAAATTGGATGTAGTTTACAGCCTAATCTGTCAAGACTGTTACAAACACTCGAGCTCTATGAGATATACTTTATCATAAACGCATTAACTCATTAAAGTTTCATTGAAAGCCAATGTTTATATCTGAGAATGTTTGTTCAAAGTTGAGTCCACACCAATTTTGTGACATGGAGGATAATAAAAATTTATTTTATTATCTATCCCCGACCTAAATGAGTGTGAGGAAATGTTTTTTTTGTATAAACGGCATTTCTTTATAATAGACCTATACTGTGTCATTTAATCCATCAAACTATCTCGAATGATTAGAATTCATCATTCTTTCCTCGATCAGTCATTACTTGCTCTTAATTCCTGTTGAACTATTGCAACTATCTGACTCTGAAAAACGTCGGTCGCCAAAGACAACACTCCCGATTACGGTACTTCGAGACTTATCTTCAATTGCAAAGTATCATCATCATCTTGTAAGAGGAGGTGGGAGGAGACAAGCAAGGCAGGAAAAACCCGATCCTTGAGTATTGAAGAAGAAGATTAGAAGGATATCATTCTCATATTCTGTCTTCCATAAGTTCCAAACGTTAATTACTCCTCTGCCACAACTTTTAACAGAGAACTCATTTATATATTAATTTATAATGAAAGAGACTAGTCGAAGGTTCTCGTTATCCTTTATATCTAATTCCTATTTGTTTTGTATATTAAGTAAGTTTTTATCCTGTTTCATCTGATAACCATGTTTGAACGTTTAGGTTTACTTCTACTTACATGTACCGTAGAATCTCGCATGAAAGAAGAGAAGCAGCACGCGTTGGAGAACAAAATAAAAGACGTTGCCATGACTCCGAAAGTCTTAGTTATATGGTTTATTTTGAGTAATTCTTAATTCTTTATAGGAGGTGAAGAAAATGGAACAGTTACATTATGGTTGGTATATTCAAGCTGTTAGTGCTTTGATAGGTGCAATGGGAAAGGAAATGTACGATACCATGGACAGGTACAGTAACTACACATGAACTAATTCAAGTTCATTTTCAGGCCTAACAAGAAGGCTTTCGTTGCATGTATGAACAAAATAGAAAGAGAGTACGATCTTCAAATGGGAGCCGATTGCTTAGTGAAAGCTTTCGATGGGTTATTGGTACGTTTCGCACTTTTGAGTGAATTAAATATTTTTTACAGGTGAGCTCTTACCCAGATGCAGTTCACTCACCTCAATTTGATTTCGTTGACAAAGACATCAGTAGTTTCGAACCATCAGTACTTCAAGAAAAAAGAAAGAGAAGGAAATCACTGTTGAAGAAGATTTCAACGAAAAAGGCTGAAAAAATGTTAAGCAGAGTGACAATCACAAAGAAAAGTTCCCAAAAAAGGCGACTGAAGGACACCGCAGAGAAAAAAAAGTTGGCGAATCGAACGAGTCAAAAAGTGGCAACTTTATCAGAAGATGGAAAAAAAACTATCAAGATCAAAAGGAAATCGAAAGCTTATTTGTAAGTTTGAACAGAGAACAGAATAATGGTTGGAACAATGCCTTATAGTTCGAGCAGAACATTTAACAGAAGCTTCGTCATCAACCCCATAACGTCAAAGCCTAATGCAAGCGCACATGCTTCATTAACTAACATAAACGCTGATCTTCACTTCATTTTCAGAAATAAAAAAAAATTTAAAACAAGAATAGCAACTTTTGGGAAGAAACGACAAGTTAAGCACCTACTCACGTATGTTCCATTCCTTCATTAGGAGAGAGAAAGCGATAGTTCATCTTCCTTTTCTTTTTCTTTCCTTTTGCGGATAAGTGAAAATTGAAAAGAAAAATTAATTTTTATATATCCGGTATGCAACATCTTCCTCCTAACCTCATCTTCTCACATCATTTTCTCTTTCTCTTTCTCTTCAACACGCGCACACTCTCATTCTCTTGATTTCAATTAGAAATTTTTTTTTTGGTAGTGATATGAGACAAGTTGGGCTATAAAAATAAAAATCGGGTCAATCGGGCACGTGAAATATGAATTCGACGTCATGTAAATAAACGATAATTCAGCTATTTCCCCCGCTTTTAATTATATTTCATCCGATCAGCTTTATGTGATTATCAATGATTGTCTCAGTTAACCTTTCTTTGTCTGGCGTCAGACTGTTAATTATCTTTTATCTTTAATTTCTCTTTGTTTTATGTTAATTTTGATATCTACAACCAATTCACTATACTAATCATGTCCATACGCCTTCACTGACTTGTTCATCAATACTGTTATGTAAAATGAGTTTTAAGATTTGCCAATGGGAATCGACCAGTACGTCTTTCCTATAGACATCGCTTCAAAAGGAACATCCTGTCTCTATATGCCAATGTAAAAATTGGAAATTTGTAATTGGATCTAAATTGTTCCCTATGCAGGACGAGATGCGCGCTGAGGCCAAGAGAATTGATAAAGTGGAAACCTCCCACGGTTACAAAGTAAAAACAATGGACCACATGCCAAGTTTATTGACGAATAGGAAATCACCTGTGAAGGTAAATCAATTGCAATCACCCTGAGAGAGAAGAAAAACATGAAAAAGGATATATGTGCTTTTCCAGACCGTAACGAAGCTAATTGGAACTGTTGTTGGATCATACAGGAATAAAACCTTAACGGATGGACAACAGCTCAAACACTCTTATCAAAGAATTAAAGATGTGAGAGAAGTCGTAATACTCTTTTGTTATGAAAAGACTCAATTCAGCTCCAAAGCATTGTGGAAAAGAAAAACATGGATGGCCAATTCAAACACCGCATGCTTGATATGGTAATTGGGAAGAACAATCCCTTGAGAGCTCGTAAATCATTTACTGAAAGGTTAATATCATGAATTCTGACAATGTTTCGCATAATAACTTTAAGGTTCCGCGACATAATGCCGGATATGCCCAATCTGGAAGATGAAAAGCTCTATGGTTTAGTTGATTCTGTGAGTAAACATACAAAAGATGTTAACTATAACATGCTCTCTCCAAGATTCCTATCAATTATGCCAGACAGATATCAAACAAAAAAGTGAGTCCATATCGCAATTAGTTAGTTTAAGCAGTGAAATGATAGGAAACTTCTCTCTCCCAACATGTTCCCACTGTATAAGGACGATAGTGAGAATAGTGTTTTACCTATTCCAAACATACTTGAGAGTACTGGAATGGATCAGGGTGATCAAGATTCTGTTATGGAACTTGTTATGGATGTTTCCGGTAATCTTCACGTGTGATTATAAATCTAAAGCTTACTACAGGAGTTAATGATGCTGTTGATACAGCGATAAAGACTGTGCAAGGGTTGAAGTCTGTGAACCTAGATAAAGACATTCTGGATATTACAAATCTCTTGGATACTACTTTCAAAACCTTAGAATCAACTTTGCATGATCATCAGAAAGAGCATTTAAACACAAAAAAATATTCTTTCTTAGAAAAAGATCAACTTGAATCTCTTTTTGGAGAAAAAGGTTATTCAATATAAAAGCCTAAAGCACCAACTTGTCCTGTTCAGCTTTGCTCAATCGAACTAATGATTTCCCATTCGATATTGAACGTTATGGGGAGATGTCATTTGCAGAAAAAGAAGAAGGACTTAGGAACACAATACGTCTTATTGCCAAAGGAAAATTAGGAGATTCTCAAAATGCTTTACATCCAACCCGTGGAAAGCGTGCTGTTGTTCATTTTCAACATGTTAGTCTCTCCCCGTACGCATTTTCTCCGTCAATCCATACTGTAAGTCTTAAAGAACAACAAAATTACATTTAACCTGCCAAATATCAAACTATAAATCAATGTTGCAGCTTTCTGTACTTGGACCAGTTACATTATCTCCATCCTTGTTCTCTCCAAGTATTTTATCTCCTCTTCTTCTCTCTCCTCCAGTTTTATCACCGCAGGTACTTTATAACTTTCTGAAAACAAATAAATCAAATGGGCGCTTTCAAAATTTTTTGAGTGTTCACGGCGTTCAGACAACGCGTTCGAGGAAATATAAAAACGAATTTCCTAAACGAAACGAAATGGCAACTTTAATGCTAATTTACGAATAAAGATAATGACCACTACATGTATCTTGCAGGTTGGAAATCCGCTGATTTTCTCCCCCTACGTCCTGGGACCAAATGTACTATCAGCTGCAGTTTTCAACGCTTACGTTTTCTCTCCTTACGTCTTGGCACCGAACGTAATCAATCCATACGTGTTATCACCTTTAATTCTTTCTCCATTTGTCTTATGTCCAGATGTCGTATCTCCCACTATTCTTTCTGGAGTTGTATTATCTCCCTCCGTATTATCTCCATCAGTGTTTACGGATTCAGCCCTAGCTGTTAATGTATTGTCACCAACGTTCTTATCATAGATATAAGACGTTCAAAAAATTTAATAACAAATCGAAAGAGAATAATAATTTATTTGTTTATATTTAATAAACTATTTGATATTTCCCCTTTATCATTCAAGCTTGCCAGCAGCATGGAAATAGCCTATGTACAAGAAGCAGAACGATGATAAAGGCAAAGCTAGGCCATAGCTTCAACATATCTCTACGATAAACTAGTATTTCATGAATAAACTGCTCAATTAATCACAATTTGAAAAGCTTAGAATCAAGGACAATGCATGTTGCACGTATTTACAAAGCCTCTTCGCATATTATAAATCAAAAGAGAGTAATGAGTAGAATGGGGAAAAAAACAAGGAATGCTTCTCCATTGAAATCATATGAGCGTGGTGAAAGCAGTTATCAGAAAGATAATACAAAACTTCCGTGAATGAAAACTTAACTACAGCATGTTTTTCTGTTATACTGTCTAGAGTTTGATATGGACATAGCAATGTAAGCTATTTCAGACATTCTCTATCGTTGCAACGTCGCTAATTGAGCTCATACTTTACTCAAAGTATGTCAATCTGTCTAAGTAAGAGAAATTGTAACTATTAAGAATAAACCAAAAGTAGCTCTTTGAAATGCAGTCTCGCAAAGGTACTCCATATGTATGTTAGAGAGCTGGAGCAAACTATTGACTGACACGATTAAACTACGTATAGAGTAACAATCATTGTTATGGCACGTTCTGTTTCTTAAATCAGAGAAAAAACTGTAATTGATCAAACTAAAATCATATCGGCTGTCATTCGTTGTACTGTTTAAGTCATTTCTAATGAATTTTTTCTGATCTTGAAAACTGGTTTAATAGCATTTGCACTTTTCATGAACTTCTAAGTTGGTCCAAATCCTGTTTGGTCGAGTTTGTTGAAGATAGGTTCGGCTTAATCTTAATAGTTGAAATCCTTACTGATTAATACTTAAAATTTGAATGTGTAAGAGCTTAGTTAGAAATTCTCGTAACTCCATTTTATCTTTTAGGAGAAGAGGAAGAAACTATCTTCTGATTTTAGTTTGGAGAGATATAGTGAGATTTCTCTCCCTTTCTTAGTTCAAAACATAATTATAATCTGTTTGGACTTTTCTCCCACAGATCCCATCATGTTAATGAATATAGAATAGAAAGCTCTTTGTTCTTTTTTTTTAAGTTTCGTAATTTGGAATTCTAAAACGGATTGCAATAGAAGCGGATAATTTCTCTCCTTACGGTGCGAACAGTCCAGAAAGCTTCATTTCATGACCTCCAACGAACAAGATTTGATTAAGAAGAATAGATGAAGCTTTTATCTTAATCCATTAAAATGGAATAGCTTTTGACCAAAAAAGATGATAGAAATGGCACGGAATCTGAAAGAGAGAGAATCTTCCTTCTGATATCTTTCACTAGGATACATTTAACTTTGTTCCAACGAACCCATAACAGGAAAATCTTACCGTCCTTCGAAATCTTCACAAAGTCTTCTCTCGCTTCCTTTTTCCAGAACTCTCCTTGTCGTCACATATCACTTCACTTTCACATACATTTTCTTTCTTTTTCTCTCTAGTTTCATCTCTCTTCCAAAAATATACCGCCTTTGATTTCCTCTTTTTTTCACTGTATGTCTCTGTATTTCTCTCATGTAATTCAGCTTTTATACGATGCACTATATAAAGGATAGCTAGACAATAATTCTCTCTTTAATTTCCAATCATGCTTACAACAAGATTAGCCTTATTGGCATTTGCCTTCGTCTTAGCTAATGCTGAATTTCATCCTCAATTCGCTACATATCTTCGAAAAGCTTATGGAGTTGAAACCTTACGTAAACTATCTCGTCCCGAGCTAGGTAAGCATAACCAAGGAAGCTTCGGAGGTGGAAAAGGACATGATGGGTAAAATCAAGCATTTTTTCTCGTTTTCAATTATTCCTTCAGGCATCGTCCAGTCGTCATCGTGCATGGCTTACGATCAATGGCTGGAGCTCTTTGGAATCAACGCAAGATATTTGCTGAAAACGGTTTTTCAAGTGAAAGAATCATTGCAACAACTTACGGGCCAGGAGAAACTCTATCTCCTCTTGTTTTCAAAGAAACTATGGAATGTAAATATGTTAAACAGGTATTACAGAATATGAGCCTCTTATTGATTCCTTATTCTGTTTTAAGATTCGTCAAATCATCGAATCAACTATTAAATACTATCATTCAAAAATTGATGTTGTCGGCTTATCAATGGGCTCTCCTATTGCTAGAAAAGTATTTGAAACATTGAGGATGTTGTTTAACTTTGATGATTTAAGGCTATCATGGGTGGAAATTGTGTTGATACTAACGAGTACATCGGAAGGTCTTTGACACATCATATCGTTACCTTCCTTTCAGTAGGAGGTGCCAACCATGGTTACTTTGCTTGAGTTATTCAGAAAACTAATCAGAGTTTTTCAGGTTCTGTATACTGTGGTGTTCCTCTGCCAGGAGTTTGTAATAATGTTAATGGACTTCATTGTAAGTCCAAGTTCTTGAGAGACATCAACGACAGTAAAATGTAAGATATTTTTTGAGCTGTTGATGATATTATTCTGAATTAAGGAGAGTGGCTAAGCACATTCACTCTATAGCTTCAACAACAGATGAAATTACGGGATTCCTATCACCGTGTGGCGGAAAAATCCATCAGTTTTTGGGCGCAGAAGAAATTTTGGTAAGTCTAAACAAACGGTGGAGGGTTCTTGAACGGGTTCATGTCAATTGCACAACACGGAAGACGCTATGTGAATGATAAAAAAAAGAAAAAAACTTGGATTGGTTTGTTGGAGTCTACATCGTTTGATATATCTTCCATTATTTTCTTCTTTAATGATAGAGACTGATCAGGTAGAAACTGAAAAAGAAGATAATTCTACTTCCTTTTTCTCGGATCAGTTTAAATCCTGCTAGTCCGCTTCTTACCGTATACAACGTATTCATTTAAGCACACAGGAAAAACTCACGAACAAGTCTTGTTTGGAACCATTCAACAACAAGCTGACATCTTGAAACGACATTGAATTGCTGAAGTTCAAACTATTCGAAACCTTTGTACATATATTGTTCATTATTTATTATCAGAGAGAATATTAAAGAATTACCTATTATCTATACTGTATAAGGAACAACTGCGTCTTACAATCCTCTCATTGAAAATGACATTTTCACTTTTTCTGTTCACTCAATCAAGATATATCAGTTCATTGGAATCATCTTTGATTTTGTGTTCAGTTCATCCTCTAAACATGATCAGTTTGCTGGGATTCGATTATCAGTTCGCACTGAATCTGCACTCCGGTATTCCCCCCGACGGCTTTCGATCCATAACGTTCACAAAAACAGAAACAATTTTTCAATTCAATGGTAGGGTATTTCTCCGTAAGTCAACTCTACTCTAACAGATATTCCAGCTCGAGTTGAACGTTAAACAGTAAATAATAATGACGTCATTAGTCCTCTATAGTCGACTGATAATCGATTGCCAACTCTATTCTTGTGAAAATCTCAACTGACATGAACGTGATTTTGTTGAGAACAGTGGCTATCTGGCATTAGATGAAGTTTGTACTCTTTTTCCAAATATATGATCTGGATATATCTTAACTGTTATATATGTAATGGCGCCAATTGATATTTTTGTTTATTTTTAATATACTCTCTGGAGATATATGAAGGCGAAGAGAAGAGGATGGGTTTAATCGTCGCAGGATCTGTAGTTATCATTTTGACGACTGTCATAGTGTATCTCATCCGGTATTTCGCTTTACGGCATCAGTTGAAGGTATTTTCTTTATTTTTTTTCTCTTCCTCGCTTTTGGATTTTACTCTGTTTATCTTTAGGGTATCCCCCAACCCCGTTCATATCCACTTATAGGCCATGGGCTGATAATGAAAAATGACCCTTTGGGTTTTATTGCTCAAGTAGGAAATTGCTAGCTACAGCTACAACTATTGTGTTCTTAAGGTTATGGGTATGGCTAAGATATTTGATAGTCCTAGAATGGTGCTGTTCTGGATAGGTCCTAAACCTGCCTTGATGTTGTATTCTGCTGAACTATTGGAAAGAATTTTGGCTTCTTCTCGTCATCTTAGCAAAGGATTTACATACGTCATGCTAGAGCCATGGCTTGGAGTGAGTCTTCTAACAAGGTTAGAGAAGTTATAACAGTACTGAGAAACTTGGGTTCAGCCAGGAGGAAAGATGGAGACCTATGCGAAAATTGTTAACTCCAACCTTCCATTATGACATCTTAAAAGACTTTGTACCCATATTCAACGAGCATGCTAGAGTGCTTGTGAACAAGTTGGCCAAACTTCCACGAGGGTATGATAATTGAATGACTTGTACTAGGTGAAAAAGAATTATTTGCAGAGAACCCGTCGAAATTCTTTCAAAGGTTACGTTATGCACTCTCGATGTTATCTGCGAAACTTCAATGGGAAAATGTGTTAACGCTCAAACAGATGAGGTTCGATTTTTCTTGCAAACTATTTTAAAAATTAATTTAGGATTGTGATTATGTGAAAGCTGTTCATGAGATTAACAAATTGATTCTAAGTAGAGCATGCGCTCCTTTTCTTTGGAGTGATCTAACATATAAGCTGTAAGTTGTGATCCCCTTTTTGGTCTGTAACATAGCAGTTCTAGAAGTAAAGAAGGAAAATCGCATCAAAGATGTTTGAATATTCTACATTCCTATACTAAAAAAGTTATTGAGGAAAGGAAAGTGGAATTGGAAGAGAACGATTGGAGATTAGATGGTCGTAGAGCTTTTCTAGACCTGTTACTCGAAATGAGCCATAATGGACAGTTAGAGTTCTCGGAAATTCAACCGGAGGTTTCTAATTTCTAATTTTTCTGCAAACTTAATGTTCTATTGTGTTCCAGGTGGACACTTTTATGTTCGAAGGGCATGACACTACTTCTACTGGAATAAGCTGGGCTTTGCATCTCATAGGAAATCATCCAGAAATACAACGTAAAATACAGGCATGTTTATAGTTCTGATTATTAAATAGTATTAATCATTTTGAGGCAGAAATAGATGAAGTTCTTGGTAATCGTTCTGAAGTCACACCAGCTGACATCTCCCGTTTCACTTACTTAGAATGCTGTATCAAGGTTAGTACTCTACATGCGACAATGTATAGAGTTTTTAGGAGTCCCTCCGTTTATACCCGTCAGTTCCTATTATTACAAGAGAATTGAATCATGATGAAGTCATCAATGGAGTTACGATACCCAAAGGGACACCCATTCTGCTTAATCAGTATTTGACCCATCGTGATCCTAACCAATGGGAAGATCCAGAGAAATATATTCCAGAAAGGTTTCTTTCAACTTCTACATTCTACGAGTTCGACTAATTGGAATAAGATTAATTTTTCAGATTTTCTCAAGATAATAACATTTCTCGTCATTCTTACTCATATGTACCCTTTTCCGCTGGAAGTAGAAACTGTATTGGGAAAAGGTTTGAAAGAATATCTGCTCATAATAGTCTTCCATATTAGATTTGCAATAATGGAAGAAAAAGTAATTCTGGCTTGGATTTTCCGCAATTTCACAATAACATCTTGCGAGAAGGAGTACGAGGTAAAGAAATTTAGCTCTATTTCAACAATTCTGGGTTTCTACAGTCGCGTCCAGTTTTGGAGCTGATTCTTAGACCATCTGAAGGAATCAACATAACACTGGAAAGAAGAAGATTATTAAGCGTTGATTACGAAAATTAATATTTTAATAAAAGTTTTATAATGTTTTAATAAACGACCAAGAGTATGAAGATTACTGATACAAAGTCCTTATGAGATAATACATAAAGCTATAGTAGGTTTTGGGAATTGGTTAACTGTGCTCAAATACAATAAGATAGCTTGTTGGCTCAAAACTTTGAAGACCTGATGATGTGAGGGAAGAAAAATGAAGTGTCGGATCACTTGGGATTTGCTATTTTAAGGATTAAGCATGATTATTTAGTTCGCAAAGATTTGTTTACTGGAGGAGAATGGAGAACAATATGTGATCGAGATGTTTGATGTTGACTCACTGAGTGATCGGTAGGAAAAGCAGATTCACAGATGATCACGAACTTTTGGAAAAAGATTAAGGAAAATGCAAAAAAAAAACGGAATATTTTGAATAGAAAACAATCTGTTTGAAGATGAAGAGCTGGACATGAACAAACAAGAAGAAAAAAAATTCATGACCATCAGATTAGAGATTGAACTTGAAGAGTTTTGTTGTACCTTATGACAATTAAGAAAGGACAATATCCTTTTCGAATTATGTTGGAAGTTCGTCTCTTGAAATAAAAGGTCATTCTCATCATATAAGTCCATAATGGATGGAGAGTGTAAACATGATGTTTGTTGTCAAATTAGCAGTTTTCACTTTTAAACGTTGAATCATTCGAGAAACTCTATGGGAATCGAAGCAAAACTCTCCGAAATGGTCATGATCTTAGATCTTGAATGCTTTCCTCATAGACATAACGCTGATTTTTATAAAAGATGACGATGAATATAGCGAATTTAGGTAAAACAGTGAACAGTTGCCAAATTCGGCAAGTGCTGTCCTGCAACTTTTATGTCTGCGTCTCCATTTTTTGCGACTGGTCGTGATAATCTCGTATTGTCTGCTTGTCTCACAGTCTCATCATTTTTTGTTATCTTACGTCTTCCACAAACAGTGTGGACAGTCAATAGGGTTGGACCATATGGATTCTCCTATATAAGAACTGTTGGAAACGATGGAAAGCATCAAAACTTAAGCATTCTATACTTCAACTAAACATGTCATTACGAATTATTCTTGCTATCGCTTTCGTAGCAACAGCAGCTCAAGCCTTCGGATTCAAACGTGGTCCTCCACCATGCGGTCTACCACCTTTCCTCGACGATTTGCCAGAAGAAATGCAATCTAAGCTGAAAGACATCTGGGCTGATTACAAGGAGGGAGACAAATGCTATGAACAGCAAGGACAAACCCGTGACTTGGTAATTAATTTAAATTGTTCCTTTATCATTCTACATATTCAGATGGAGTCCCTGACTAAGGAGCAGCGCAAATCTTTGTTCAAAAGAGGACCTCCACTTCCACCTTTCCTCAGAAAAGCATCAAAGGACATCCAAGAGCAGTTCCGCACTGTCTTCAAGGTTTTTTACTCTTTTTTTTCAGCTCATAAAGGGTTGTTTTTTAGGACAGAAGCATCAAGTTCGAAGACAAGCCAAGCAAACTCAAGGAACTTGCCGAGAAAATTCTAACCGGAGACCTTCTTGAAGAGTTCAACAAATTCCATCAAAAAATGGAGGAGGATCGCGCCAACTACAACGCTAAGGTTGAGAAGTTGAGCAAGGAAGCTCGTGAGGCTTACGACAAGATCGAGAAACTCGACCAAGAGAAGCGTGAAATCTACTCCAGCGTATCTGAAGATGCTCGTTCTGAGCTTTTCGAACTCCACCGTGAACGCTACGGACACCACTTCGGTGGACGTGGAGGACGTGGATTCCGTCACCGTCATCACTAAGAACCAATCTTCGGAAATATAATAATTATTATATATATTGAAAATCATGGAAACTTCAATGATTATGTATTTATTGTATGAAATAAACTTTTCTCTTTACACAATTGTATATTCTCATTCATTTCGGTTTTCCAGCAAAACTTCTCAGAGAACATGAAAATGAGTTTACATAAAAGTATATATGATAAAGCAACAATTCTATAAAAATACTGGTTTTAGAGATTGGATGAAATCAATCAGAACATAGGTGGCCTTCAAGGAAAAATTATTTCCGGAGAGAACGTTGGCATCGAGAAAGCCCCCAACCCACATACATGACCCCTTTATACAGTTTGGTTCTCACATATAGAAGTAAAACACAAAAATGATTGCATGTTCATTAATTTACAAGTGATCATCCTCACATATGAATGATTCTATTCATATTTTAAAGACAATGCAGTTCCAATGAAGCTCTTAACTATTCCTCGAACAATAATGAGGCCAGAGCTGCTTCTTCTACTCTCACATCGTTTCTCTGCGTCTCCGCAATAATACTCAGGCAGCAACATTAATCGATGTATCCTTCCTTCAGACCAAAATAGAAGATAAAAAGAAGATGGCAGTGACTACACGGGATGAAGAAAGCATAATATAAAGCAGAGAGAGTCTTTTCGGCAGATAGTATTTCTGGACATTGGGACAAAACAGATGATTTGGAGGAAGATTGGGCTTTCCTTGGAGCAGTTAGACATGAGAGTAGAGACATAGAACATATAATATGCAGAGAGCGGAGAGAATGCTTTTGGCATCAGGCCACACAATGAACCAATAGCTTCAGCTGGTCATATCTGGTTTGACTTGGAGCCTTTTTCTTACTTGGCACTTTCTTTACTATATTTTAATTGTGAAGGAAACTGAGACGATGATTGCATTCTTAAGTACACAGTAATGCTCAAAAATAATTATTCATTTTAAAGCAGAAAAGGTATGAATTATCTTTTTAATTTTTAAAGAAGAGAGGCCGAATGACTTTCTCAGTTTCATCCGTCACTTTCGTACTCTTTTTTTATGAAAGTAACAACATTTAAAAGTAAAATGAAGAATTTTTAGATGCCTCTTTCAACTGTGCATTATTCGGCTTTGCCGAATGATGATGAAGAAGACAGAATGGCAAAGTATAATAATGAAATTGAGTTTGGAGTACCAGAAGGAACGTTCGGCAGTGCTTTCACCTACGCTAATTACAACGATTTGGATAGAATGGGCTATGAAGCTCCCAAGAGGTTTGTTAAAGTTTTGTATTAATCTTACTATATGAATTTTAGGTACTCTCAGAAAACAACAAAATACAATCGGTTCACTTATTCCCATATGTTTGCAAGAGAGGAAGATGAGGTGAGTAATGCATATCACTTATTGAACATGAGACGTATCAGAAATGATTTTAAAATCTCTATCTGAAGTAAAAGAAAGAATTATACTTTGAATTTAATTTAGATTCCACCAATGAATGCTGTAGAAATGATAATATATGGGATAAGTGTCTTGTTAGCTGCCATAACCTTACCATTTTCATTGATGTTTGTTCTAAAGGTATTCCTGCAACTATTTATATTTAAATTCTTCTCGAATTCAGTTTGTTTCTACTTCTGAGAAGTTGGTCATTCTCAGATTGGGCAGGGCGCAAAAAACAAAAGGCCCAGGCGTGGCTCTGGTATTTCCTTGTATAGATAGTACGCACAGAATTAATACTTCAATCACTGCGTTCAATGTTCCTCCTCAACAAGTAAGAGCAATCACTATCATTCTATAAATCTTTTTTTTGAACAGATAATAACAATTGATAGAGGACTTGTTGAACTAGGCGCTACCATATTTCTGAAAATTCGTGATCCTATTTCAGCTGTATGTGGTGTACAGGTGAGTATCCAGAACAAAACCGAAACACCCATTGATCTGACTAAATATTTGTTTTTCTTTCTTTACAGGACAGAAACAGTTCTACCAGAACTTTGGCGAACACAATGTTATATCGATATATCAGCAAAAAAAGAATTTGCGAGCTAACGAATCCTCAGGATCGGAAAATGATTTCGGGAGATTTTCAGGTGTTTTTTTTTATTCTTACAACAATACAACGGATGTTCTAAGAACGAACTACAATCCTTCACTGCTCAGTTTGGAGTTGAGATCACCAATGTGGAGCTATCAGAAATTAAAATAATTAAAGAAGGAGAAAACATGGGATTAGCAGCTCTGAGTGCTGTAGCATCTTCTGAAACAGGGAAGCAACTGTGGCAGGTAATTCTAAAGCTTAGTACAAGTAAAAGAATAATCTTATGTTAGGTTATTGAGCCTGCCTTATCAGAATTCGCCAAGGCTAACGAAGGAGGAGAATCGGAGATTCTTATAGATACAAAACCTTCTGAAGACATTCTGATAGATCTTAGTCCCGGCTTGGATATTGATCAATTGGTGTCCGTTATAAACTTAGCTATTGATGAGCAACTTACTCGATCTATAGGAAAAATTTTCCAAGTGAATTGTAGTGGATTGGCCCCAATGTATATAGACCTCAAACATTCGCCGGGCACCTGTGCCTTGGGACAATCCAACAACCCTGATGTTGTTTTTGAGACTACACAGTTAATATTCTTTCAATTGATCAAGAAAACACTTTCCCCGATAAATGCATATATGAATGGATCGTTGAAAATCAAAGGTTCAATACAAGACGCATTATCTTTGAAATACCTTGCTGAAAGAATATCTGAGTTGTTATGAATTAAAATAAATGTTTGTAATAAATTATTATCGGGTGACTTGCTGCTTCAAACATCAACATTCAATAAATTCCTCTTGTACAGCGTTTAGTCTTGGAACTTAGCAAGTTTTGTATCTCCAGTACATATAGCCTAGTTTTAAAGGTCTGTGTCTGACCATGCATTAAACTCCCGCAACGAAAAATCCAATCGAATTTACACGTGTTGTAGCGCCGTTGCTGGCGATTATTCACCTTTCTCATCGGTCTGATTTATGTTATAATTATGCTTTTGTATAAAATAGTCTTCCATTGTCTCCATAATGACGCTGTTGTTTGAAACAGTTTTATTTGATTACAATGAAACTTATTACTTACGTAGTAGTATTATAGGAAGTTGAATCTAATCGAATCAAGATGGGTTTGACGATCTCTTCATTGTTCAATCGCCTCTTTGGAAAGAAACAAGTATGTTAATTATTCGTTCTGTTCGAAAATGTTCAAAGGATCAAATTCAAATTTTAATATTTAACTTTCGTAATTTTTGTAATTTTGATAAATCAGCTGACATTCTCGTGTGAATGTACTATTACCATGTATCATTGTTCAGGTTCGCATTCTGATGGTAGGTCTTGATGCTGCTGGTAAGACTACTATTCTATACAAATTGAAACTTGGAGAAATTGTCACTACAATTCCAACCATAGGTTAAACCAATTCATATTTTGAATATATGTTCTGATTCTAGGATTCAATGTTGAAACAGTCGAATACAAGAACATCTCCTTCACAGTTTGGGATGTAGGAGGTCAAGACAAAATTCGTCCTCTCTGGAGACATTATTTCCAAAATACCCAAGGATTAATCTTTGTGGTATGAATAGAAAAGTATACCCCATCTAGTGTTTCTTCAGGTTGATTCTAATGATAGAGAGCGTATCGAAGAGTCTCGTGAAGAACTTCATAAAATGTTGAATGAAGATGAACTTAGAGATGCTACTCTCCTAGTTTTTGCTAACAAGCAGGTAAACCTCTGAGTAACTTGATCAATCAATACATATATATGCCTTATAGGATCTTCCAAATGCTATGAATGCTGCGGAATTAACCGACAAGCTTGGTCTGCATAATCTTCGCTCTCGACAGGTTTGTTGTTTAGTATTTCTACAAAAAATGTAGCGAGAGAAAATCTGTATGACCCATCCATCGTTTCGATCGATATCTATGATGAGGTCAACGAAGTAGCGTCTTGAGACATGATGAACGAAAAGTGTTTGAAGAGAACATATCATGTATAACGTGACTTAATAGAGCTATGAGTTCGATGTTTCTGGAAGTATGAATTCAAATCTTTCGAAAAGGAGAGTACGGGAGACTCGAAATTAGGTCGCGATCGAAGTTGAAATTTCTGTATTCAATTCAATCTGTTGATGGAATCAGCATGTTGGCCTTTTAACGTTTTATAGTTTCCCATATTTCAGTGGTACATCCAAGCTACTTGTGCTACTCAGGGACATGGATTGTACGAAGGTTTGGATTGGTTGTCCACTCAACTCTCTAAAGCTTAAGTTTTGTGATGAAAAAAATAATCTTGTAAAATTATGAAGCCAACTTCATGTTGTAATACGTAAATGTTCCTTGGCAAAGCTGGGCATTGCAATCACCTTTCTCATAATGACTTGTATCCGGCCGGGCCTTTATTGTGATATGGACCCGTTAATATTATTAATTCATGGTATATTCCTGCGAACTTTTGCTATCGGGCTTTGTCTATAGCTGAGCTACCTTTCGCTGGTTATTTAACATTTAATTTTATTATCGGTGGATGTGTGGATCATGCTGTTTATAAACATAAATATATTTATCAATTTTCTTGTTAGCCAAAAAAGTTTATTACGAAGCCGATAGCTTGGGTATATGTTAAACTGCGCAAAATACAATACAAGTTGATCGCTCGAAAGCTTAAATTTCGTCGAGTTCCTACAAACTTCAAGCGGGAAAAGCAGCTGTCTTTGATTTCCACTACCATAGAGGCTTGCTGCTGAGAATGTGGGCTTTTCTGGCTTTTGCTTGATGGGCTCTGTTTGCCAGAGCTCCTTCTGGTGTCTGGTCAGCATCAACCGGAGCAGCCATAGCATGTCCCTTGAAAAAAACGAATTAGAGAATATAATTGTATTGAACACACCTTGGCTGGGTGTCCACTTATAGCATGGTTCAGCCAACGAGTATCAGTGGCACCATTTCCAATACGCCTCGGCGTTTGTGGACGGCGCCACCCTTCAGGCGGAGCGTCAGCTGGAAAACGGTTTTGAAATGATGAAGCTATGATAAAGTACCATTTCCGTTTGCTGCAACAGACTTGAAGAGTTCGTCGAAAACCACAAAGTTTGTGTTTTGCCAGACAGGTTTGTTCAATCCAAAACCGCGAGACATAAATCCGAGAAGGGTGACTGATGGGTTATCCAAAGCAAGCTGACAAAACAGAGTTTTCATGGATATGATTTTTTTAGTACCTGATAGGGTACAGCATGTTCGTTTTGCAGCATATACTCGATAATGGATTTTCCATAGCCTTGTCTTTGACAGCTGTAGTGGACATAGAAATCGAGAAGACAAAGAATCTGAAAAAAATTGGAAGTTCAACTCATATTAACAAAGTTATAGACGAAAAGTAGTACAAGTATGCCGTAATATAACCTTATAGTAAACCTGTATTTTTTCTATTTCTTGGTTTGATCAATGGCTTGACCTTGGATCATCTTAATTCTCAAACTGAAAAATAGTCAGAACGCTTTCCATTTTGACTACTCCTCTATTAACAAACTGTTGGCATTTAGAATTTATTAAAATCTAGCTTGATCTATAGCCTGTCATGAAAACGTAAGTTTGTCCTATTTGGAATAGTTTTGGACACAATGTTTTGAAGGGTGATTGTAATATGTCAGCTCTTTTGTTTTTCGTTAGTTTTCTCACAGTTGGATAAACGTATCGCAGACTATCTTCTCCAAAACTTACAGTGAGGAAACATTTTTTGGAAATTTTACTTGTTAGTTTTTAAGAAGTGAATTAGGACGTATATCGCAATCAGCTTCACTTGACAAGACACAAGAACTTGGAGAGGAAGAGACAGGGTCAGAAAATCAGTTGGCATATCAAAGAACTGAGGACGAAGATTTATTGTTCCGAAGAGCAGACCGACAAACAACACGTCGTACAACAGCTGCTCCAAGGTTCAAATATAGCCTGATAAACTGATAAAACAGTATATATTAACATCAGAACACCGAACTCTAGAACTACTACCCGTACTACCGCTGCTAGGAGAACTACGAAGGCAGGAAACACAGCATCCAGTACGGGTCAGAAAGCTCAACAAACTGCGAAACAGACTCAGGTTTTGCAAAAAAAAAACCAATTGTGACTCTATTCATTTTGAGAACGCATATGTAAAAGTAGGAAATACATATAACGAAGTGAACAACCCCATCATCATCAACATTGATCTACGCCTCAAAAAATCTGTAAGCTTCTTTTTTTTCAAAAACAGTTCACATTGAATAACCAGGCTGACGCTCCGAGAGAACTTGCAACTCCACCTCCCTACAACGGCATTACGAAATCTAAACCTTATTGAGATATTGTTATTGTTTATGTGTATCGAATAAACGTTAAAGATGATATTACAATGAACTCCATCTTTCAAACATTAGGAAGTAGTGAAATCTTTTTGCAAATGAGAAAAAAAAACTGTATATTCACATGAATTTCACACAAGAGCTATCGTTTTCAAAATAGCTGATGAAGTTATGTTTTCAGTCCTGCGTGAAAAAGATGCCGTGTTTGAACTTATCGTTAGGAACGAATAACTCAAAGACAACATACTTGATGAAAAAGAGAGATCTCTGCTTTACATACACTATGTCCTCTGAATTGCCGATAGTATTATACTAGTTGACATTAACTTTGTCAGTAATCGTAAACGATATATCAACTTGTCCCAGATCGACGGTCAAAACCTTCTAGTCTGTACTGAAATCCAAGATCACTTCTCATTGCTCCAGTATATAAGCCTATGACTAATGTGTCGAAAACATACACTGATTTTTATATTCTTATATCCTCTCATTCAGTTCTCAATTTTAGAGTCTCATACTTTCAGGTAATGAAGTTGTTCCTTCTCTCGGCAATCGTTGCTGTAGCCTTCTGCTACGACATCGATCCATCT